GGAGAGGAAATCTATGAATAATCCTCAAAAATGATAATCTGCATCTAACAGCAATGGCACCCTTATTCTTCAAAAATTTTGCTTGAATGACAGCTCTTGAATGTGAGTATGTGCAAGTTCGTTCGCTAGAATAAATTTAAGCAAGAGACAACTCAACTTGAATGACATTCAATAATGATATAGTGCACCGCGCTTCAGTTCAATGGATTATCATTACCTGTATTGCATAGATTTCTTATATAATGGGATGAACACAGCCTAAATTTCAATATTTTTGTTCTTTGGGAGCGAAGAGTTGTAAACTTAAGATTACAGCGTATCAGAATGATGTAGATTTAATATAATTAAAAACTAGTTTTATGCTATGGCAGGAAACATATTCCGAAAACAAAAGTGGATAATAATAAGAAAATGTTCATGCGCAAAAATTCAATGCTCTAACAAGTGAATTCTTGAACTAACCATAGAGCTATTTCCGATATCGTCAAAAATTCACAGTGCTCTTCAGAAAAATTATCGGTAATGGACGCACTTCAACTTACTTCAACTTAATTGTGTTCCACTTAATTTTCACTCATGTGAGAAGGCACCGCTTGTTTAGATAATTAAGTCCCAAACTATCTACCAGTTGTACTCGTTTGAGCATACTTTGTTTGACTCTCCCAAAGCTATTTATTCAAAATGATTATATATCTATAAAATACAACAAATATTGTAGTTAACAAACAACCTAATCAGCTTATCATCAAGGAACACTTTTTTGCACTAATATGTAATGATTATTTTTACAACTATATTTTTTTATCTAAAATGAAAAACGAAAACAATTTCCAATATTTATTTGGATCCAAAACTCAAGCTTATTGTACAAATCTTAATCACTGCACATATTATCCGAATCGAAATCACTCCCTGAATCTAATTGAAATTGAGGTTATTTTGTTAAATTTATTGGCTGCCTTTGCAGTGTTGACACTATTTTTTCTTACTGTTGGAGGGTTAACGGAAGTCCCTTCAGTATCCTGAAAATGCCTATTGGTGTCAATTTATCACTTTTTTTTATTTTTTACTTTCACAATTTTTATTCTTAGGTTTCCTTCCTTTTGATATTTTTTATTCACACCGAAATCAACTAATTTTTTTGTACGGCCTACTAAATTTAACAATAGGACAACTTCTTTCCTTGATTGCAAATACTTTATTGTTTGGCCACATATCAAAGCAGTTCTGATTAGGTTGTGCGATGCCAATCTTAATTGACTTCAGATTAATGTAACAGAGTTAATTTCGTTTGGTATTTTGGCCAAATCTTCCATCTGGTTTTTATGTTACCTTGAGAGTACACGATTTTACAATCCAGTGCATAAGGTAAGGTGAATGAAAGAAATTCCATTAATGGATTCACAGGAAGTGTTTATTGTATGGCTTTTTGGGATTGATTTTAAAAATATTATTTCAGCCGTATAAGCATTTTTTTGTTACTCAAATACAAATAATACAACATTCTTGGCATTTCTATATTAAATGATGAAATAAAAATAATAGAACATATTTTTTGCGGATTTATGAAATTTTATATTAAAAGGGACCATTTATTAGTTAAGCGAGGACGTCAGTTATTTATTTTTTTTCATTGTTATAAAATTTAATTTATAAAATTTTAATTATCATTATGGCATCACTGTTTAAGGTGAACAATTAGCATATAAACTAAGCACTTCCAGATATTTTACTTTTCAGCAAAATTTATTCGGTTTCTTATGTCACAAATTTTTATACAAATATAAGTATTATAATAAAATTAGTTCATTTAGTATGCCGACGATATTGATATTATCAACCGCCAGTGCGGCATATACCAAGTTAGAAAAACAAACGAAACAAATGGGTCTTGTGGTAAATGTGGACAAATTAAAGTATTTTCAGTTAAAAAACAATTCTTTTGAGCTTCTTAAGACCCACATTACTGTTGGCAATTACAACTTTAAAGTTGTGAAAGTCTTTGTTTATTTGGGAACCAGTGTAAACATCAAAAATGACGTCAACCGGGTAATTTAACGAAGAATCACTGTTGCCAACACATGGGCTAAATAGGCAATTGAGAAATGTAGCCCATTCTCGACAAACAAAAATCACGCTCTACAAATATCTTATCATGCCTGTCCTTCTGTATGGTGCAAAAGCTTTCATACAGATTCCTTACATGTTGGCGACGTGTATTGATGATGAAATATCATAGAAACTACAGCATGGATCTTTGATGTCTTATTTCCTTTTTGAATGTTTAGTATTGATTCTTGTAAATGCAGCTGAAATTATTACTTTCATTCCAATATTTTGCAAATATGACCAAATTTTGTCAGATCATAAATAGCTCCAAAGAATACATTTTAAACTCCGTCTATTGCTGAAGAATGTAGTCTGATTCTAGACACAATTATCTATATTATCTATATTCTATCTATATTTAAATATATACCTAATTATCTATATTTATTTATATCAAACTATTTAACCTCAACTTAATGTTTGAAGATTATTTAACGATAATATTAACATCAAAAACAGTTGAAAAAAAAACAATCTTTCAGGCAAATTCACCAGCAATTTTTCACAGTTCACCTTGTAAGCTTAGCGATTAGTGCCTTTGGTTAATTACAAACCACAACAAAAATATATATTATTTTCGTTGAGAGCTGAGTTATAATTAATGCACTTCAATATATGATTATTACGAGAATATAAGGAAAAAGTCAACGGCCTATTTGAAGAGGCGTGCCTTCTCAACATATATAACATCCTGATCGACCAGGACTTCATACAACAAAACTAAGTCAAGAAAACAGGCAAATTGCAATACTTTTAGGTCATTGGTGTGTAGATTTCTGTACACCACTCTTTATAGATACTACGGAAACTTGAACGAGGTGAAAATAATCACACATTCTCTCTGCGATTGCCCCATATTGTCCAACAGAAGAAATAAATTAGTAGGCAACTTCTTTCTTAATAATATGTCAGATTTCTCGTCAGTAAAAACGGGTCGACCATATGTTTAAAAATGTGGAACAATATATATGTAAAACACAAGCTCCAATAATTAATATAATATAATTTAAGTATATCAAACGTAGAAGAAAGGGCCAATTATAAATATACACGACCGTACTCTTCAACAGCCGACTGACTGCTGACTTCACAACTACTGCCATTACTGCTTGACCGACCTTTACTTGACTGCTCAACTTAACCACTGCTACTGCTGGACTCTCATATATAACTTACATATATAACAAACAATTTTATATCCTATGACGATTTCGAGGAAATGTTTAAAAACAAAAACTTCACTATTAATCCATTAAATTTTTTAGCTACAATATTTCCATTTATTTCGGGTACTTGTGGTACTTGCGGATTATATCAGAAGTTTACTTTTATTCGCAAAGTAATACTGTAACACCAAAATTTTTATTAATTTTCGCACAGTTTAATCGAAAACCATAAAGAATAAATTCATTTTCATTCTACCGCCAATCAACTTCATTCTTCATTAATTATTTCTTATTATAAATTACATAAAATATTGAATAGCCCTAAAACTGTTTTCGTTACGTTCTCGAAATCTCAAAATCTTAGTATCTGTATGTGTTAGTATCAATTTAATCAAGTTACAATACAAAATAATGAAGTTTTTTATTATCTTAATTGCTTTTGAAATCCTTTTGAATCTACTAAACGAACTTCTGCAGTGGCACTTGAAATTTAATTTAAAGTATTAATTTGCATGCTCTTTGCAATATTTTATAGCTCCTTTAACCACTCGATGTAGTCTGTATTAATTTGTCATTCTAAATTCAATTCTTTACTGTAATTTATTTGTGGTGCTGAAATCATTTATCATTGCTCCTGTACTACTGAGAGCTGCTGCATCTGTCTTAAGGTGTGTACATTCAGATAACCAGTAGCCTTTGTAACAGCACACAACTGTTTAATTAAAAAAACAATCCATTTCAAGAATTTAAAATGTACACAAAATCAGGAGTAGCTGTGTTCAAAATATAATAAACTTAAAAAACTTAAAATAAACCAACAACAAACTTAAGACAGAAATCTAGCCAGAAGTATTTATAAAAAGTGTTTTTCTCACACATATGCATTCATAATCCCCACAGTAATGATTTATAAGTATATTCCTTAACGAATGCCGGTGCTAATGAATCAGCTTCACAAGAATGCGTATGATTCATGAATCATAGCATGTACTCAAATGAGTATGAATGACTCGTTTACTTGTAGCATTCGTAAAAATTCTCTGTGAACGCTGACCATTCTTTGGTTTGTGTTCTTGAATATTTCATGTGCAATAAATTAGAATATAGCAAAGTATAAATCATAAGTGCTGTCAACTGAGTATATGAATCAGGAGGAATCGAATATATGAAAAAAGGAGTCAGAATGCATATAAATGAAACACTGTCAACAATTCGAGTATGATTCGAGTGTTGAGTACTCATTGCAGTGCTCTGGTGTGTATCACTGCTCCAACCGCTCTCATTCCGATCTAGCTTTTAAATAACCGTAGAGTTTTAGTACATATTGCATTTTGCCGGAGTTTAGAATGTACTAGCATTACTTTTTTCCTACTTTCACTTATTTCAGGTTACTCCCTTTCGAGTTAGTTAACTACAGGGTTATTTTTAATTAGCAACAATAACTTCACATCGACTTTACGATGACTATCGTGTTCTGTACCTTAGGTCAAATTCTTGTTATATTAAAAAAAACACATATTAATTTGTTGACCACTATTTTTCAATTTACTAGTAAGGAATAAAATTATATACTCTCGATTAGAATTCACTTGTTACAATATTCGAAGTTATCAAGAAAAACATAGCATCCATGCATATTTTTTAAATTTGAATACAAAATTTTGACAAGGAATGAAAAATTTTTTTTATTAGAAGTTATTTATAACACTTAAGATTGGTTTCATGATGAATAATAATTTGGATCAATCAGCTGCTACTGGGGTTACGGAATACAACATTCCGCGCGATGAAAATGTATTGGGAGGAAATACAGCTATTAATCTAAATAACTTTCCATCTCTACCACCAAGTAGTCAAAGTTTTAATGTTAATAACTTTCCAATTGTTAACACTATTATGACTACGGAAAGTGACCTACCAAATGGTAGCATGAGTCTAAATGGCCCTCCTGTTTTTTTCAGTGATGTCGCGTGTACAATTCCGACAGGAAATGCTAATACTGCTGGGGCTGCAGAAGTTGGCTCCACATCTAATGATACTCACGTACGTGGAAGTACTTCACCGCTTAGTCAAATGATCTTTGTTAGTATGCCTTCAAATATCGGTCCATATGAAACTCAAAGCAACGGTGCAGATGTTGGGTATATTACTATATTTTATGCTATGAGTCAAACATTTCACAATATTTTATTTTAGGTTCCAAGCACAAAACAGCAATTTCAATGCTAATAGCATTGATGGGAGTAATATGAATATTGGTACGAATGTTTATGGATTTCTCATTGTTGGCTTAAGTTCGCTTCCCATATATCAACAAAATGAGTTTCAGTATTCTACACAAATAATGTACAATATACAAAACAATGCTCAGATGGATCCTAATAATCCCAATAACAATATTCTGCAATATTATCAGCCACCGCAAATACTAGTTCCTGTTTTCGTAAGTAATAAATATTTGTTCTACAACAGCAGCTTATTTTATTATATAAAATATTAAATTTTCAAATTTACAGCAACATCAAACGCAAGTTCAAGATAACTTACACCCTCAGTCGCAGTCACAATTTTGGCGTCCAAATCAATATCATGTTGAACCTTATTCTCAACAAGTGCAAATGTTACAACAACAACCAACTCTACAATCACAAAGTCAATTTGATTATTTATCTCCAAATATTCCAAACCAATCAGAGTCCCAATATCAAAATCATCCTCAACTTCATTCCCAACCACAAAGTCAACTGGATTACTCATTCTCAAATGTTACAAACCAGTTCCAGTTTCAACCTGACTTTCAACATTATCATCAATCAATACCACAACCAACTCTACAATCACAAATACAATTTGATTATTTATCTCCAAATAACTCAAGTCAGTCAGAGTCCCAATGTCAAAATTGTCGTCCAGTACATTTTCAATTACAGACTCAACAGGATCATTCATTCCCAATTGTTACAGACCAGTCACAGTTTCAGCCGCAAGTGCAACATATGCGCCAATCAATACCGCAACTACAGTCACTTTTACAATCACAATCAGAATTTGATTATTTATCTCCAACTATTTTAAACCAGCCAGAGTCTCAACGTCAATATCAAGATTCCTCTCAAGTTTATTCGCTATTCCAACCACAATTTAGTTATTCGTCTCCAAACATTACAAACCATCCACAGTTGCAGCCTCCAGTTCAAAATATTCTTCAACCAATGCTGCTGCAACCACTGCCCACTTTACCTCAATCGCAATCTCAATTTGGTAATTTATATTCAAATGTTGGAAGCCATGAGTACAACAATAACAACACAAGTCGCGAGTTATTTTATAATCATAATGCTGAACAAGAAACATCACCATCATATCCTAATATCTACTATTTCAACGGAGGGATGGAACAGCACAATGGAGCAGCCAATGATAACGTTGGTGTCAATATTAATGTAGAGCATGACATAGCCAATCCTTATAATGTGAATAATGCTGAGTTGTCATCAGATATTGAACCTACAATCAATTCACATGCTTCCATGGCTGCTCCCCGTAGTTATTATTTTATGGGTTCGACTCATCCACCAAATATGTCGGATATAAATGAGTTTAACAATAATGGAATGCCATTTGGAACTGATTCCGACTTGTTGCCGCGTGCTTACATAGCACCTCAGCATACTGACAATGTAATAGGTAATTATTCTCCACCAAATGAGCGCCTCAGCGATGTATCGTCAACTCAGCAACAACCAACGTTAATTGGCTACATGACACCGGAAGGCTTCATTACTGTTTGTGATATGAATCCTTCTACTCACAATTAAGGAAATCTGTGTTGATTAAAACTCTCCATAATGCATATGAAATTTGAAGACTGAAAATTTTTGTGGAGAATTTATATTTGATAGCCTTTTGGAATGTCTACAAGATAATTTGTAACTTTCAAAATATGAAATTTTTCAAAATCATGATTTTCTGCTTTTTTTTTTCATAAAATTATTTTCATTAAATAAAATTGATCATCATTTACACAAGTGATGTAAAAGCTATTCTTTTTCTTTATAGTTTTTGGAAAATATCCTTAAAAGTTGAGGAGTAGAGCATAATGTAATCGTTGCTTCAAGTTACGTTTTCCAACTTTACTAATGTTAATAGCTGTTACGTTCCAGAGCCTAACTATGCCAGCTAACTAGGAGACGTCTGAATACCAAATATTACCGTGCTAAATGAGCATTTTAAGAAACATACAATTGAATCTAAAGACGAAAGGTTCCCATAAACGATAATCTTACGTACATTAATTTAATTATTAATTTACTGTTCATTGTGCAACAAATTGTAGCTCAGGATATTATTTGTTTAGAATCCTGCTTTCTAAATAACCTTAAAACTTAATTAAAGAAGAGTGAACATGTAGTTATTTTTAAAATAGATAGTACCCACCTACTTGACGGTGCTACGTTAAATACCCTGATGCCTATTTTTTTCATATAAATAATTACCAATTGGAACCAAAGCGTAACTTTGTACAGCAATAAACAAATAATGTAATTTGTCAAATGCTTTGCTTTGTTAAATTGTTTTAAAATTCTGTCATTTTAATCCGCAATTTGGAGGTCAAAGAACTATACAAAATAAATCGTATACATTTTTTTAGCGTATAGATTCTCTTACACAATATCGATGAATTAAAAAAGCAACAAGAATCCAAGCAAGAAACTCAAACTCTCATCAGATGCATTAGATATCTATCAAGGTAAACGGTTGGGTAGAAGTTATCATTATTGAACTACATAAGTTCCTTAGCTACATAGACTGGATAAAATCAGGCTATAAACACCAACAACAAAGTAATGAGGGTTGAGGTCAGTATTTGGCAATACTCGAAACAACTGTGTGGTCAGCAAAAAATTCAATTAATTAAAATAATATAAAATGAATTTTTGTTGTTGTAGTTCACTACTCTTCATAGAAATTTAACATAAAATGCATAAACATTTTTTTATTGGTCTTGGTTCTGTCACACTATTTATATATAAATAATCTGTATTTTATTCTTTTGTTACGTACGTAATTTAATAAAGTTCCATATTAACGTAGGTTGTTAAGGTCAGGTAGACTTCGAAACTGAACTCAGTGACATGTCTACAGAATTTTATTCATATCATGTTTTGTCATAATAATAATTATCACGCTGAAAACAGAGACCTATAAGATATATTGTTCTGTATTACTAATAATACCACATCACAAGAAAGATTGTAACTCATACTAATTATTAAATTCTCGAATTCCCGCCCATCAAGATGATTAAAGTCATTAAATCCTCTCTTGCTTGAATACAAGGCCACTTTAATAGTTTAATTTCACCAATTCTCTGGACTTCAATAAATCAGATAGATGCAAATTCGTCAAATAGGTAAAAGTTCATATATTAAAGACAGTTAAAAACATACTCCATAAATGGTAGACAGTCCCTAATATGTTATCATTACAAAGCGTTATAGTAATAATTCTTTAAAACTGAATCAATTAAGATTTGAAGTGTAGTACCTAAATAAGCAGCTCAAATGGCATGGTTGCCAAGACTAAAAATTTGTCTATTGTGAACGATTTTTGGAAGTACATGCGAAATTGTCAGTTAACTGCCAACGAATGATTTCGTTTATTATTCGTATTTTGTGTCGTCATTGTTCGTAACAAATATGTTATTTTTTCTATTTATTATTTTACTGTTAAAAAAGCATAAAAAATTAGATTTTATTCACAATCAAATAAATTTTATTACATGCTTTACACATACAATCATAACAACATTTCCATTTTGTTCAGAGTTGCCATCGCAAGTAGTGCTTATTTTATTTGTTCTTTTGCGACATGCTTACAAAAGAAAAGGCTTAAGATAAATATAATCAATTTTTCATCATATATATGAGTAGCATGTTGAAAAAGGACTACTTATTCTTACTGGTCACAACCTGTTTTGTTCCAAAAACAAAAAAAAATGTTTCGATAGAAATGTTTGGTTAACATTATTATTATGTTGAGGCTAGTTGAGTCAGTGCACCTGAGTACTTTTACTCTCTATTAACGGCGAGGTTTCTTCAAAAACCGTCTTTGCGCCTTGACTAGATTATTGTTTATCACTTCATTAGACTAAGGAATAATTGACCACAGATCTGCATACCTCCCTGAGGAGCCTGTAACCATTCTGAGATTTGATAATGCGGTGTTGGTAAGTCTGTCAGATTTCACAAATAATTTCAGGGCTCTATCCTTTATGTATTTTTTGATCGGATCAATCTTGATGTCCCTGAGGATGTCATTCGTCCTAATGTACCATGGAACTTTAAAAAGTCTTCTCAGAGCCTGGCTTTGTGCTTAGCATAATCGTATAATTTTGAGGTTCCAAGTTCAAATCCTAATACTCAAAAAATTTTTTTTCCCACTATTAATTTAAAAAAATTGTTTCTAGAAAATAACAGAAATAAGGAAGAACAGTGAAGAACACGATCTAGGCTAAAGCACTAAAAACCGATGAAGAGCAAAAGTACTGTCAGCATATTTGTGTAAAATATGAGACATATTTGCTATCCAAGCAGTCAATAGACAATTTCAAAATTGGGATCAAAACCAATAAAGATTAACGTTTCTCTCATGTTGAAGATATCGTAAAAACATAGCATTACTATAATTCAATTAAGATTAGATGTGTGATGTATGTAACTATGAAAATGAATGAACTCAAGTCAAATATCAAAACAAAAGTTTAGGAACATTAATACCATAAAAAAATATTTTCTTATATTTCATAATATTATATCCTCGAAGCAATTTATATACAATAAACCGTTTAAAAACGAATACATACTATTATTCAGAAACTAAATCACAATATACATTCGGTAATACATAAATGCAGCCACTGTTCAAAAGTTTTTTTAAATAAGTGCATAATTTTAGCTTGTCCAGTTATTGAGAAATAACTTCTGGACTTTCATCTGGGTTTGATTTGAAATACACAAATAAAACATGTTGAGTCTTTTATTCTTGTTATTATATATCTGTTAAGAAATCTGTTAAAAAATCTTATGAAATTAAAATTTACTGGTTAATGGCTTTGCTATTCTAAGAAAACTAAATTTAAGCTGGCAACACTTATTGAAAAAACACGATAATGATTGATTTCAGCAACTTCTACTCTGTTACCAAGATATTCGTAATTTTTTTTTTTTCGTATATTTTATTGTTGCTTTTATTTCTGTGGAGAAAAAGAAAAAACAGCAATAGAATACCGCGAATACGTCTATTATTAAAAAAATATATTCTATTGACTTAGTATGAATTTGGAATCTTTGTATTAGGAATGAAAAAATGGTGCAATTTTGTAGCACTTTTTGTGTGATACTTGTAGAGAAGTAAAAGTTAGCCGATGATTGTTCGTTAACCTCAGTAGTCTAGTGGTTAGCAACTCTAACTACTGCCACTGGGGCCCAAGTTCAAATCCCGCTAAGGGCAAACGGTTAATATACAATTTCAAATTAATACAAGTTTAAATCACTAGTCATCGTAGCACGTACGGAACAAAATTTTTAATTAAGTGAAATTTTTTTATATATTACATTATTACCTATAACAGATGTGTATACTCACGCTTTGCTACAACATTTTATTTCAAAGTTGTGCTTTTATTATGTCTGATTGAACTTGGAATTTTTGTTGTTTTTGGTGCATTTGGAGCGAAATACACCCTAAATATCTTAAGTGTTCGTCCAAAACATTGTCCGCATTTTCATCTGATATATGACAGCTACCATCTACAACTTCATTTGTGGTCGCTCAAAATGACTCCGTGGAACTTTTTACTATTTTTTGGAACAACTTTAAATTTATATATCTACCGCGTTTAATATTTATCTTATACAGAAATAAAATGGAATTTTAAATTAAAATATGTTTCGTTTGAAAAATGTTACTTTGTAAATAGTATCAGTTTTTATATTTTATTTCTGGCACTGCTTTATGGTTTGTCTGGTTGCCTACGGAATCATCTGTTATGCCTATAGATGAGCTGATTCTATAGTTAATGTAAAAATCTTTCTGATTGTGCTTAAGTAGTAAAGTTAAAAACAAATGAATTAATATTTCTCATTATTTGAGATATTATATAAATCAGCTTTCAACGTATGAAGGACTTTTCAAAAATGTGTATTTTTAGTGGATTAGCCTATTGGCAGTTGCATGTATTAGAAGGACAATATAACATAAGACTTTTACGTTATCAGAAGAATGCATTTATCAATGTAACGAATGGGCTTCGAGCACATAAATGTCTATCAAATGGATTGTGATGACATTTTAACGAATTGTAATTTTAGTCGGGTATCCTGTTTTGCTAATTCATCTAAAAGAAATGGTAATCAGACGATGAAAGGTCCTGCCTAAATGGTGGATGCCTCAAAATAACCCCGGAAAGTTCCTTCAATTTGTTTTGTGGCATCAAAGATGTGTGCGGTCTGGTATTGTCATAGTCGATCAACATGTCTTTTTTAGAAGCGAATTTTGGTCGCATTTCTTCAATACCTATGTTCTTCCAAGCGAAGCAATTGGATTATCGCCTTAGTAGTTGGAGTAACTCTCCAACTGGATTATAAAATTAATCACTGGAGACTTGAAAATTTTAATTTGCGTTTCAGTATTCTATTTAATTATTTGAATCAAAAGATAGAATTAAGGGTTTATGACAAAAAATTAGTTTTATAATTATTTTCATTCGAAATGTTTTGATATTACCAAAGGTTGGTGTGTCAGTACTACATCTAAAATGTAAAAACGTACTTCTAACTGGGTCCATTAAGATTGGAATAATTTCAACAATTGTGACTCGAAGTTTTGTTTCC